GTCATCATTTCCACATCTCTGATGTTGCTGCTATTTTCAAATATCCACTACTGTAAAAATGTCCATTGCTGTATATTGGTTATTCATTCTCCAGATGCAGAGTTTTCCAGTATTATATTTGTTTGTCTTTTAATTCTATACAATGATGTTATTCTTATATATTTTTCTATAGTCCATATTTGTGTGACAATAGATAATCTTTTTGCTATATATATATATATATATATATATATATATATATATATATATATATATATATATATAAATAACTGACTGTGGATTATTTTAACTAAACACATATCTTCTTTTATCAGTTTAGGGCGTTTTCAGGACAAAATGTGTTCAAATCAAGGGAACCATTGGACTGTGAGATTCCTGAACCTTTCTGATAAGAGCAGATACCGTAGTTTGGTGCATTGATTTGACCTGTAAGAACCTGTTGTTTTTTTTCTCTCTTTTTTTGTCTGTGATAACCAGCAGCAGTGATGTGGAAAGCTCTGCAGGTCATAGAAACACTGAGCCCAATCCATGCAATGTGTTTAGAAACATAGCGCTCCATCCGCATCTGGTTCAGAGCTGCAGGTGCTTCGAGCTGTTTTTCCCAAACAGACCTCAACCACCGTGGGAACATGCCCACGGATAATGTGGTCGCTAGGAGGGGGGAGGCCAGGGTTACAAATAACCCCTGGTGTGGAAACACAACGCCTGACTAGAGAAGCTGAAAACTAGCCTCACTGCAGCCATAAAATGGGAGGGAATATTAGCAAAACATAGCAACCAAATGTTATCAACTTACTGTGATGGTAACTTCGTGCTTTTTCAGTCGATACTTCAGGCTCTTCATCTTGTATCTGTCTTGTTTCTCAAATTAAAAGTATGTTTCCACCGCAGACTTTCATAAACAGAGCACAGACTGACCTAAAAGTTTTCCTGTAAAGTTTCTCTATCTGTTCTCCCGTCTTCAGCCCGAGTTTCACCTGACGCTTTTAACTGTAAACTCCGGTCGCACTTTGATTGATAGCCAGCTCATCCAATCAACGTGGGAATAAGCGTGGGGCTTGAGAGTTAATCCAATGGGAGCACGCAGGGGGCGGGACTTCCCTGTACAGAGCTTTGGGAGACGTTGGAAGAGTCCTGGGATAGAACAAGGAAAGTTCACCAACAGGATTTACCTGAAACAGAATACTGTAGACTCCCAATGAGCAAAAATAAATAAATAAATAAATAAATAAATAAATAAATAGTCAGATTTCTGACTTTAATCTCAGAATTCTGACTTTTCTCGGAATTCTGACTTTAATTTCAGAATTCTGACTTTTCTCAGATTTCTGACTTTAATCTCAGAATTCTGACAGCTAAACATGTTAGCATCAAGCTGTAGCCATTTCTGTTTTAGAGACTAGCTCTCTTGTTTTAATCACCTTCTGCTCTTCCATTAATGAAATAGCATCACGAGGACTCCTCTGCCATGTAAAAAGCTGCCTAATTTCGTCATTTTTCACCAATGTGTCTCTGTCCCTCCAAAATAACTCACATCTGTCAGTGAAGCTGAGTGCTCTCATATGTATCTCTTCCTTCATGTTGCCCATCTACGTTAAGATAAAAAATTCTGAGATTAAAGTCAGAATTCTGATTTAAAAAAAGTCAGAATTCTAGGATTAAAGACAGAATTCTGACTTTTTTCTCATATTATAGTGACATAAAACGTAAACAGTTTCAGTTTTTAGGTTAATTAACTATACAAAAAATTTTTGGCATTACATTAGGTGTACATTAAATTTTGTGTCTAGATTTCATCAGGGTTATATCAAGGTAAATAAACATGTTTTAAGAACACATAAATGGGACTTTGTCCACAATATTAAAATAATAGTTTGATTGTTAAAGCTAAATCGTTTTATACAACTGTCAGACAATCTGGCTGTTTAAGAGTTATCCTAAATAAAATGTCATATTGACGTGTATGGAACAGCATTTCCAAATACTATCGGGAAAGATTGAATTAGAATTTTTTTGTAAATATCATACAGAGCACACATTATTATTATTTGTTTTTTGCAAGAAATAAAGCCCAAAATCGGATTTCATAAAACTTGCTAAAACTCAAATTTTCTGCTTAGTTGGATGATGGTAAAAGATATTCTTTTCCAGGGTAGCTGTTTGTTTTCAGCTTGAAATTGTACGTAACATTTGTTGTATTAATGCAACTGGAATAAGGCGTGACCATATTGCTTATTTGCAGACGAATCATACGTTTTCAAAGTTAATTGAGCTACTGACTCAGATTTATAGTTGCTTTTGTAAACACAACCATTACAAGATTGTTCATCCTCAGTTAAAATCCATCAATATATCAGGATTTACCATTTAGCAAAAGGTGAAGAAATCTGCTTATAAAAGCTACTTTTAAAACCACAGCCATTTTAGAAATATATAAATATAAAATATTCTGTTACTGTCACAGTCACTCTTTTCTGAGATTCTCTGGATGCTTGGATTTTTCCACTGTAATGAAGACAGCTCATTCTCTATGTTCCATCTATTGCAGAAACCTTGATTTCTCCCTATTTTACGCTCCTCTTTCAGAGCTGTGGATACCTGCACAAAGAGCCAGACGTTAAAGGACAGGGACAGCAGGATTCGAAGAAACCTTGTGCAGCCTGCTCCTCACCTTATGAATACAAATCTGCCTCTGTAGGGTTGTGCAAACCTTCAATTGTTCTGGGTCTTTCCAGGAGAACCCTTATTGGTCATCCTTTATCTCCTCCAATCTCATCATGAACCTATAACACCTGTGGCTGCCAAAGACCTCACAGCACTTGAAACAGAAAATAATAAAATAGCAAGCAGATAATTGTTCAGGGGATTCTCTTTTTTCTTGTTTAAATGCTCATTTGACTGTGTTACTAATTTCAGTTCACTTTATAGTAAAATGTCCAAAATGCTCCAGTTCTAAAATGTAAAACAGCAGCTACTACACACTTCTCTAAGTATGTACCTCTGGGTGATTTAGATTTATGAAGATTTTCTAGAAAGAAACTGTTCTTAAAGAATAGGTTTTTCAAATAGGTTTTTTGGGTTAATCGGAAAACCCAAGGGGGGAAATGCTGCCCCCTTGTGTAGATAAAATAAATTTGATTTATTCATTGTTGACCGCTGATTAAGTGGCCTTTTACTGCAGGGGGAATATTTTCAAACATAATGGATCAATTTTTAAACCATCACTAGATAAAACAAACCCATTTCCCAAACGTATGCATAAATCATAATTAATATAGTTCATTAACCTAAAGCAATAGGCATGGTAAAGGGCTGCTCAGCAAGCCCTTTACCATGCCTTGCAGCAAGAAGGTTCTGGGTTCGATTCCTGGCCCAGGGTCTTTCTGCATGATGTTTGCAAGTTCTCCCTGAGCATGCATGAGTTCTCTCCGGATACTCCGGCTTTCTCCCACAATCCAAAAACATGACTGTTAGGTTAATTGGCTTCTCTAAATTCTCTTTAGGTGTGAGTGTGTGTGTTTGTCCTGTTTGTCTCTGTGTTGCCCTGCGATGGACTAGCGACCTGTCCAGGTCGTACCCCGCCTCTTGCCCATTGACAGCTGGATAGGGTCGCACCCCTCACGACCCCACTTGGGATTAAGCGTGTTACAAGATGGATGGATGAATGTGCACAGTATGGTTGTTACATGTCAGGTACGCCGGTCATTGACCTTGACCAAGGCTCCTTACAGTAGAACTGCAGTCAGTCCTGGACTGGCATGGCTATCACTGCCCCTACATAGTTAGGGACAAATTTCCCACTGGGATCAGCTTCATAATCATGGTGGGACCCTTCTTTGATTTTAATTATTTTGCTCAGGATACTCATAAGCCAACAGCACACCAAATGTTGAAAGGGCAATATTATTGCCATTGCTGTTAATATATAGTAGAAATTTTAACACATTCAGTAATGTGACAGGGGATCATTTAAGAAGGGGGATGATTTTTAATATTTCTTTAAAAAGGGGGATGCCATCCCCCCTCAACTTGAGTACAGTATATTAGTATATATATATATATATATATATATATATATATATATATATATATATATATATATATATATATATGAGTGAGTTCAGCTTCTTGTTTAATGTAAGCCTTCTGACTCCAGCCGTGCTGAACTGTAACAGGAACCAGACCACTTGTTGCGTACAGTAATTATTATTTAGTAATGTATTCATCATTATTTATTTAGATTTATCATGGGGTGTTTACAGAATATATATAGCCTGTTGTGTGCAGACATGGGGAAATTAAACAGACATGGGGAAATTAATAAAAGGTTAAACTTTATGACTGCAGCATAAATGAAGAGATGTGAAATAATAACTCCTTACATAGGGACTTAATGTTGTGTTTTGTTTCTTAAACTTACATGTGCTGATGAATGTTAAACTGTTTTACCAAAAATAAATAAATCTTTGGAAGTTTTTATATGCATACCAATTTAGAAGGAGAGTTTCTGTGCGTCTGTTGTGTTTTATCTTAATTAAACTGTGAGGGACATTTTTAACTTGTTAATCCTTTAAAGAACAGCTAAACTATTTAAGGACATAAACATTAAAGACACAGTAAACAATTTGGATATGGTTTAACAATTCTTTTCTTTTTTTTTTACTTACAAATTGATACAAATGCACGACATACAAACATTTTAACGGCTGGCTGCTAACTTTGCTGCACCTAATGTGACCAAAGACAGAAATAATTCAAAGCATGCAATAGTAACAAGCTCCTCAGCTGGAATGCACAAAAACACCATATAGGACAAAGTGGAAATGATAGTGTAACGGTTTCTTTTATAGTTCGTTGGTCTTTCCTGCAAACTGTTACAAGTTCCAAAGACTTAATGGATGAAACTCCGAACTGAACTAAAGATCATTTTTACTCGCAGCCTGACAAGGTGGCGAGGAGTCTCAGTCAAAGCGCCGTGCTGCTGAGAGCTCTCACACAGCTTTGCGGTGGTACTCAGGGGGGGCGACCTCGTAGTCGCTGGCACTGAAAAGGCTGGCCGAGTTCTTCACCAGGTACCTGCAGAAACAGGGAGACGTTCATCACTATTGGATATCAATACAATCTATTGTGACAGGCAGTTTGCAGAAAATCAATGGTTTACTACTAAAAAGGAATATAAAACATTATTCAATCTTTACACTCTTAGATCCAATGTCAGTTAATTATTTACTGCGTTTTTAAATTGTGCATGGTCTCCTCATTTAGAACTCCTAAAAGTGATCAAAATAAATAAAACATCTGCGATGAATAATCCACATATTCTGTCTCAAATATCCAAGCAGCAGCTCTATCTGTAGTCATTTGCAGCTACAGGCAGAGGCATTCAGAGGGGGGAAAAAACACTGTTTTCTGAGCGGGAAATCGATTTCATGGCTGCAGAAGTATTTCAACCTAGAGTGGCTGCACTAATATAAAAGTAGAAGGAAGAAACAGGTCATTTGAGACTCAGCCAAACATGACATGGAGTCTCTGATGGAGCGCTGGGAGTCTGGGCTTACTTGAGGAAATCTTGGAGGTAACTGAGCAGCAGGGCCAGACTCTTCTCATCCAGCAAAGTGTACGCCAGCATGGCTCCAATACGAACTGTCAATGGAGATTAAGATGCATGAAAGAGGAGGGAAAAATATGTTTTTCTAATTTTATATTAGTTCTTCATATAACAATGCAAAGAGGTTAAACTAGTTACCATGTTAAATATGTGAGATACAAGTGAAACTTGAATAGATCTGTTCATTTGAATCAAAATATGTTTTTTAAATGTTTACATCATGCAGAAAATAGAAACATTTGATAAGAAAATAAATCTTGATAATATCCTGTAGTAATTTTTTTTCCTCTATCAGTTAGATTTTCCCATCATGTCCACCGATCAACTGTTCCAGTCAAGCCGATTGGTCTAAAATGAACTTACTATGAAAGTAAACCAATCAGATATAAGCAATATAATTCAGCATGCCACGTAATGAATTTTAAAACCAAGTATTTAAATGAACTAAAAAAAACATTATTCAATAAATGATGCATAAGCTGTTAAAAATGTCAAAATGATGCCATTAGACGTGTGCATTAAATTAATTACTGTGTTCATTTTCCTTTTGTTTTGCAAATGAAACAACATGATTTATTTATTAGGTTCAATAACTTCCTGCAAGGAGAACACACACAAAAAAGGAAATGGATCAAATATCAAACAGATAAAATAATATGCACAAACTTTTAGTTTACGAATGTCAGCAGCTGTATGCTGCTCAGTGATCATAATCAGGCTGCTGCTTTTTCATCTTATTTTATTTTGGTGAAGATTCTCAGTCATCCAGGTCATAGTCATTCCAAAGAAGTTAAAAAAACAATCCACTGGACTTTGTTTCCAAGTTTAAAGACCTTTTGCATCCCATCCAGGAAGCTTTTTCAAGTCAAAATGTCAGAATTAGCGTTGAGTTTGTGGCTTTATAGAGTGGACCAAAAACAAAGCCTTGTTTTCCTTAGAAAACATGCAAACTGAAATGGACAAAAGGGCCCGCCCCTTTAGAATGGGGGTCGTTTGACTTATTTTGTTAGACTACAATGCCCCATACCTGTCTATGTCTCTGAAAGGGGGGTCGTTAAAGGGAATTGTTGTCCTTGCTGATTAGCCGAGGTCTTTTGTTCCCCTGTAAAGGGGTTGCAATGATAGCAGGAAGGGATTCACTAATAGGAATCACCATTATCATCATAATTAAGGTGACAAGTATCAACTGTACAATAATAATAGTTCTAGTGATACAAATGACAGTGAAGAGCTGAGCATATATAAAACAAAAAGTTTGTTTTTATAGTCAAAAAATTATAGCAGTTACTGTGACCATAAACATTATTTGTTATCATAGAGCACTACCAGTTAGATTAGCCTTTTCCTGCAGAAATATTCTTTTATATTTTTCATAAATGTTAAATCGTACACATCCGGTGTGACTATTAACATCTCTGTTGGATAATGTCTCCCACCGCATGCATGAAGCTGCTGCAGAACTGGAGAACTCCTTCACTGACAGACTGCTGCACCCTAAATGCACCAGGGAGCGTTATCACAGATCCTTCCTCCCAGCAGCTGGAAGACTTTATAACCATCACTGTTCCCAACAACCTCAATAAATAGTAACATTCATGCTGATTTTGAACAGTTTCTATCTTAGTCAGTAAATAACATGCTGCTTTGATTTTGCGCATCTCTGATGTTGCTGCTATTTTCAAATATCCATGACTGTAAAAATGTCCATAGCTGCATATTGGTTATTTATTCTCCAGGTACACAGTATTTATATTGTTAAAACTATTTACAGTACAGCATTTTATTTGTTTATTTTTTAACTCTTCACTATACTATACTTTATTACTTATGTTATTATAAGGTCCACATTTGTGTGACCATTTTTTCAACAATCTTTTCTCTACTGTAAACACCAGAATTTCCCCATTGTGGAACAATAAATGGATTTTTCTATTCTATTCTATTCTATTCTATTCTATTCTATTCTATTCTATTCTATTCTATTCTATTCTATTATTCTAATGTGTTAGATGATGCTCTGATCTGTTAAAGTTTTGGGCAAACATACATATTCTACTGTAGAACTAGAAAAGAAGTTTAGCTTTAAACAAAGAAAAAAATGAGCTTATGACTTGTGATGATGATGATGTTGATGATGATGATGATGAGGGTTTATTACAGGGTACCCACCAAACAGACGCAGCAGGTGTGGGGCTCCGTACACCTGAGACATCGGCACGTCGGTGTGTTCGGACAGGATGTCGGCGTACTGCGGCCTCTCAAACTTGTAAAGCAGCTGCGTGCCCAGCATGACGTTGAAGTACTCCTTAATTCCTGCCACCACCTCGTTAACGGCATACTCCCTAGAAAACAAGCAGACCAGTAATAATTAAAATTTTTGCACAAACGGCACCTTAAAAGAACGCCGGAGGAGCTTCAGGTTCAAAACCCTAAACGGAATAATTTATCCGAGCAGCTTTCTGTTGTCTGTTTACAAAAACACCACAAATACACCGAAGCCTTTGAAGATGCACTACAATAAAAGCTGGGTAGAAGAAAAGTGTTTTTATGTTATGGTGTTTTAAATTAGGTGCAATTATACTTGCATAATGTGCAAAAGCAAACCTCCCATGGTGTAAAATGCAGAAAAGAGCCATAAAAAAGCCCATAAATGTGATGGGAGAAGGGGAGATAGGACGCTAATGCGGAAAACACGTTATGTGAAAAGTGGTGTAATGAGGTGGACACACGGAGCGAGGCAGGACATTGAAATGACAGGATGTGGATGTCTCTTGTTTTTGACATTCAGAGAGCATCAGGGGAGGCAGAACGATGTCTTACTTGTTGTCAGAGGTTCCTTTTGATTTTTTGTAACTTGCATATTCCTCCAAGATCACCTCCACATTCTTCTTGGCAGGCAAATGAAACAACTGGAATAAGAACACAAGTTATTCAGAAATGAAGGTTATTACGCATGACTGCATTTTATTTTGTAGGGTCATCAGAACATTTCCTGGGACTGTCCATCTATCAGGGAGTTATATTTAAGACATAAAAGCTTTTTTGTCTTTATCAGGTTTGAAAAAGTGAAATAAGAACAAGAAAGGAAATTATATGAGGAAGACAGGAATAAAAGAAGCAGACAAGAAAAGGACACGACAACTAGACAGCATAATACAAAACAGTGCATGAAAATACTAATATTATCCAGATCTGGAAAATATCAAAGTCAGATTTCATAGATTAGAAGCCTTTGAATCTTTACCTGTCTGACAGATGAATTAGCAGATTCCCTTTACTGTACTTTGTTATTTTACGGAACGCTGTCATATTTTTTCAAGGGACATTAAACTAAAAACGTCTTGAGTTTAAGGATTCAACCTTACAGTTGCACTACTGAGGTATTTTTTACTACCTTCTCCCGTCTGCCTTGGTTTTTTCTTAAATACTGCACAAAATTAATTTTAACACAGGATGTGTGCAGGGGCTCTGGAGCCTGAGATGGAGCTCGTTGGATGTCGGTAGACACCCGATCAGTCTGATCTTTAGCTGAACCTAAGGAACATGTACTGCTGGGAAGACTAACAACCGTCTCTAATGTTTTCCACTTGAATAATCTCTCAGATTAAAGAGGTGAAGCGCAAAATGTACAGAAATCTTGGAGTATCCGAATACCTGTAAAAGACCTGATAGAACGTTTTTTTATGCTGGTGAAGGTTCCCAGTCATCCAGGTCATAGCCATTCCAAAAAAAAAAAATAAATAATTAAAAACAATCAACCGGACTTGGTTTCCAAGTTTGAAGATGTTTCGCTTCCCATCCAGGAGGCTTTTTTATTTCAAAATGTCAGTAAAAGCGTTGAGTTCAAAGCTTTATACAGTAGCCCAAGTGTCTTAAAGGTCAGTCGACACTTAGACGGATATGGGGCATTGCAGTCTAACAAAAGAAGCCAAACGACCCCCATTCCAAATAGCTGGACCCCTTCGTCTGTTCCAATCTTCATGTTTTCAAAACAAAATCAAGGCTTTGTTGGGCAACTGTATAAAACCTCAAACTCAACGCTATTCCTGATATTTTAAATTGAAAAAGCTTCCTGGATGGGAAGCGAAACATCTTCAAACTTGGAAACCAAGTCCAGTAGATTGTTTCTAAATTTTTTTTGGAATGTTTTCTTTATAATTTCAACACTAACTTTTGTCTCTCTCTTGCTTTATTAAAAAATGTAATATAATAATAAATATTGTTTATTTTAGGTAGAGGTAGCCGACCCTTTCAGACGTGATGAGAACTGAGGACATGTTTTCTAAGATGCAACATCCTGTGATATTATCAGCTATATTTCTCATACTGGATTCAGATCATATTCTTCTGTTTTATTATAATATTAATAATAATACCTATAGGAAAGGCTTTGAGTCATGTCGACTTGGCCGTAAAAAAATAAAAGGAAAAAGCAGCGAATCGTACCAAGGTTTAATAATATTTCTCCTATTTAATGTTTTCTTCGGTAGGTTTGTCTGCAGCTCTATCTTTTCTCATACCGTGCAGGAAACTAACTCCTGAGTCAAAGTTTAAGACAGGAAATGTGTTTCTGTTAGTGCTTTTCTCTTCTTTAAACCTGCTTCTGTCGTGTGATCAGGTCCCAGTCATCCACCAGCCAAGGTTTCAGCTCCTCAGGAATCTTCACTTTCACCTCCACACGGTTCACAAACATTTCCTCCTGGACAAACAACAAACACGCTGAATCAGTAGAGCGTTGTCATGCTCCCCTTGTATCTGCTTTCCTAGTAATAAAATTGGTTTCTAAGATTTAAAAAGACATTAAGAGGTTTCTCTCCCTACACAAATTTCTCCTTTTCGGTAACTTCCATGACCTGAAAGATCATATTATCCGTTTCTCTTTATATGAGCAAAATAAACCCAGATTTAGTTAGTTACTGCCATCCCATAAAGAACAAAAACAAATCCAAACTATTTTTTTTCCTGACAAGATCTTATGTCAAATCGTGGAAAGCAATCAATGAAAACATTATTTCATGTCAACATTGGTCTAGGTGGAGTCCTGAAAACAACGTGGGCTACATTAATAATTGGCAATCCTTTTGGGGAAAGCCTGGCCAAATTTATTAGTCCTCCAAAATCCTGACCCCCCAGGGTGCAGACCAGGAAGCAGAGTCCTAGTTTAACACACGTCTCTGCAGCTTCTCTACTGTTACCCACTCTTTACTTCGTCCAGACAGTGTCTTGCCCACAACCAAAATCTAATAAATTAGCAAAGATTCCCAAAGGAGTAAATCATGATAATCTAAGTAAAATAAATAACTACAATTGGGGAAAAATTTAAAATGATTAAATGTGGTTTATTTAACATAAGATCTCTTTCCTCAAAAAGTCTGCTAGTTAATGACTTGATTTGGGATAATCACATTGATTTATGTTGCCTTACAGAAACTTAGCTGCAGCAAGAGGATTATATAAGCATAAATGAGGCAATGCCTTCTAGTTATTAAAATTTTCACATACCCAGAAGTTCTGGGCGAGGATGAGGAGTAGCAACAATCTTTCAGTCTGACTTTCTGATTACTCCAAAGGCAGCTAATAATTACAAATCTTTTGAACATTTAACCCTTAGTTTCCCTCATTCAAATTGCAAAGCAAGAAAAGCTCTTCTTTCTGTAACTTTGTATCGTCCACCAGGTCCTTACTCTGAATTTTTAGATGAGTTTTCAGAGTTCCTTTCTGATTGGGTATTAAATACTGACAGGGTCATCATAGTGGGGGGATTTTAATATCCATGCTGTCATTGAAGGTGATAGCTTAAGAGCAGCTTTTAATGCTATCTTAGATGCTATTGGCTTTGTTCAAAATGTGAATAGTCCCACACATTGTCATCTTCATACTTTGGACCTTTTGCTGATATATGGCATAGAATGTGAAGAAATAACAGTACTTCCTCAAAACCCTATCCTCTCTGACCACTTTTTAATAACCTTCAGGATTACTTTAATAGAGTTCTCCTCCCCAAAAGAAGGTTTCACTTTAGAAGATCATTATCAGATAGTGCAGTTATGAATTTTAAAGAATCTGTTTCACTTTCTCTTTCCTCTGTGTCGCTGAGCAGTGCTGCAGAGGGCAGCATAATTTAGTTTATTCCCCTTCACAGGTTGATGATTTTGTTGATGGGTTGCTAGTTCTCTGCATACTGCCTTAGATAACTCAGCCGCTTTGAAAATGAAAAACGTTAAAAACCGAAAGCTGGCTCCTTGGTTTAATACAGAGCTGCGCACTTTGAAGCAAAATGCTAGGAAACTGGAGAGAAATCGCGCTCCACAGGACTATGGAAATCCTACCTAGTCTGGAAAAATTTACTGCTGTATACGAGGTCCCTTTTAAAGCAAGATCAGGTGATTTCTTCTCATTTAAAGAGGAGAATAAGACTAACCCTAGATATCTTTTTAATAGAGTTGCTAAACACACCCAGAACCATAGCTTAGTTGAACCGTCCATTCCACCTGCTCTTAGCAATAATGATTTTATGGGATTCTTTATAAATAAGATTGATCTTATAAAAAATAAGATCATTAACACTCCTCTATCTACGAGCAGTTTAAGTAGTTGCCAAACAAGTTTGCGATCACTTACACCATAATGAACTTTTTGAAGAGTTTCAGTCTGGCTTTAGAGCTCATCATAGCACTGAAACAGCTCTGGTGAAGGTTGCTAATGATATTTTCATGGCCTCAGATAATGGACTTGTATCTGTGCTCGTCCTGTTGGATCTCAGTGCTGCATTTGATACAGTTGACCATAATATTCTTTTAGAGAGACTAGTATAATTTGTAGGAATTAAAGGAACAGCACTAGACTGGTTTAAATCTTATCTATCTGATCGATTTCACTTTGTTCATGTTAATGACAGATCTTCCTCATGTTTAAAGGTTACCTGTGGAATACCACAGGGATCAGTGCCAGGACCAATTCTCTTTACTATATATGCTCCCAATCGGTAGAATTATTAGACAGCATGGGGTTAATTTTCACTGTTATGCTGATGATACCCAGCTATATCTGTCTATAAATCCAGATGAAGCTAACCCATTACATAGATTACAGGCATGTCTGAAGACATAAAAACCTGGATGTCTCTTAACTTTCTCCTTATGAATGCAGACAAAACAGAAGGGTTTTTCACAATCTAACATCTGTCCACAGTGCACAGGCAATCATCTCGATAAT